ATCCGCTTTCACAAACTCCAGTAGGAGGAACGACGCCCACTTCGACTCGAACAGTCCTTCGCGATGCGGCCATTGCTGTAGAACTTCGATGGCGCGTAGTCGTACCCGGATATCGTAGCATCCGAATGAGATCAGGTATAGACTGGGTAGGATGCCCACGTCAAGTGTGAATGCTGGTCGTTCCGGGTAGCGCTGTAAGAGTGCCTCGACGAGGTATAATGCCTCTTGGTACTCTGGTGTGTAGAGGTCGAGCACGACGGGGTTCTTGGCTAGGAGGCAGGTTTTCACGGATAATGTAAGGGTTCGGTGGAGGATGTAGATGATGTCGGAGCCGCGTTGCTCTTTTCGTGTGAGGGTGGGGTATGCGTGTCTGTAGAATGGGGTGAATAGTTCGGCGTAGTGGGTTAGTTGAGAGAGGAGTTGGTATTGACGTGGAAGCAGGGAGTTGTAATCTCTCGCCACGTCGGCGGGAGATAGTGGCCAGGATTGTGATGTGAAACGAAACACGCCACTGACTAGGGGCTCGATGGCTTGACGGGCTTCGATCAGGCTTGTGAAGGACTCGGAATTCTTTAGTTGCCATTGGTATTTGCCTAGTTCATTGTCCACGCAAAGGACAGGCCCGTCGACGCCGTAATATGTCGACTGAATATCTAGCTGTACGAATGCTGCTACTAAGCATTTCTCGACCGGTGATTCGGTCTCGTCTGCTAGAGGCTCCTGGACTTTGAGCTCTCGGAGGATGCGTAGGCCGCCTTGGAGGTGGTGGCATGCTCGCTCGTATTGACCTTGTAGGAGCTCTAGGAGCGAGTACAGAAGACAACAGAGCAGCATGACTTCTCGCAAGCGGGGATCGCTCGCATGCCGTCGACTCAATATCCCGAACGAGCGTGCGGACTGTTCGAGTGCAAACTTCTGCCAGATATTCTGCCGAGTCTGGCCCGGCAATGGCATTCCCGATACCTCGACGTCCTGGTGTACGGCGCTCAAGGCCACCGCAGCGTGGTAGACCGCTGGCTCGGAGTAACTGATCTGAAGAACGAGCTGTTTCCATAGTTCCGAGTCGAATAATTCCAGTAATCCTGGGATTGTGAAGTGTTGAAAGTGCGAGAAGCAGCGCCGCTCGTCGGATGTTATCGCCCAACGAAAGCCATCCGTTACTTGAGTGAGTAGGTTTTGGGGATGACGGTGCGTGTTATTTGCTGCGCGCGGGAGTCGGTGGATGTCGTAGGTGCAGGAGCGCCCGGTTGATGTGCAATTTTTACATTGGTTTGGAGTTTCATCGCACTTAATACGGCGGGCGCTGTTGCATGCGATAAAGGAATTAGCGGCCGCGGCAGTCGAGTGAGGACTGAATGGTAGTGACTTACCGACAGGTGCGACACCCATTCCGCGACCTTGTGCCGTCTGCTCTCCTCCGTTTCGTCGGTTCTGATGTAGTGGGTTTTCGAGACATGGCTGCGCGATACGATATTGCAGTTTTTCAAAGTCAGGAAATGGAAGAAGGGTTTTGAAGAGAACCTGAGACATGTGCAATGCGTGAGGGGGTCTTGGGGTTGTAGCGGCGGGACACTAGGCTGACGAACCCCAAGTTCTGGCTTGACCAATAGTGAATTTGAGACTGGAGCCATGGCGGGTTAGTGGTTGCTAGTGAGTCTTCCGGTCCTGTTAGCCTTGCAATAGGTGGGACGGAGCAGAGCAGAGCAGCACTGCCATCGCGTCGACGGCCCACAGGGGAAGGGGACCATCAGGGCAAAGCGGAAGGATTCGATCCACTGATGAGCCCCCAATAGGCAAACCGGACATCCGATTAATATGACCTAAATATGTGACAGGCAGGCAGACTCGCCTAGTGAGATTGTTTCAACCGGAGATGCAGTGAACGGAGGCTGCTCCATGCTCCGCTCCGGGCCGGAGCCCCGGAGTGGCGCCAGGCACCATTTGCGCCCCCAAGATCGTGCTGTGAAACTAGATTGAATATTTGTATTACTTCTGCACTTTCTCAGCAATGGTACCTTGCTTATTTTGTGCACAAGGCATTGCTGGTAGCTACAGCTGCTGTACTTGAAATTTGGCGAAGTGCATCATCAGCGCCTTTTTTGAATGCTCTAGCCAAGCAACAGTGAGCGAGGATACTCACAATTACATTGGACACCCTTCCCCGCAGAGCTTTCATTGGACCCTTCAATGGTGGACAGATATACTTTCATCGTAGGAAATTTGTTCGGAAAAAGAAGGGCGAACTGCCCAATGGCAACTCTATCGCAATTTCTCGTCAGTCGAACTATTATATTCGATCCGCTTGGTCAGCGGTTAGTAGCAGCTGTACAGGACACGCAATAACGAGGTTTTGTCTTCTTCACCTCTACCACATTGGGTAGAAGCTCATCGTGGGCCAGCCTGACTGAAATGCGTCACCTTCCAGGACAGCCTGCTCAAATATATCCGAATATCCACCAAACCCGGAAGCTGCGCTGCCAAATCCTTCCATGCCGGATAGCAGATTAGGAATACTATGCTCCGTTGAGATGGAAAGTTGGGGGGCGACTTCCAGGTCATTCGGCTGCGCTGCGCTGCAGTTTCCCGTATCGTTATACGGATAGTTGAAATTTGTTCTAGCACCCTGTACAATCCATGGGGGCGCTACCGTCTGGCCAAGTTCCCCCAACCCTGCTTGGTACGCCTCCCAGGCCTGGAGAATATCTCGCGACACAATCTCGGAAAGCGGATGGAATCTATGCATGTCTTCGAAGCGTACCTCGGCGTTTTCGCTCATGGCCTTCCACATCTCATGAGCGTGCTGTTGCGTAGGCCGCTTCTTCATATCTTGAATCAAATGTAGATGTGCAGGAAACGGAAAGTACATATGAATATGCCAACGGTACCGTTTGGTAAGGGGGGATTTCATCAGCTTGGTATCGGACTCGAGAACTCGCATTGCACAGGAGCTGGCGCTGTTGCGCTGCGCCTCTGAGTGCTGCGCGGGCGATAATTTTGAGTATTCTTCAAGCAGATGGTGTTTCGCAAGGAAGCCACGTATCGTCCAGATCGTGAGATAGTGAAGCGGATTGTCTGGATTGCAAAGTTGGAGATACTGCTCCTCTATCCTCCTTTCTAGATCAGTCATGCCATTACCCTTTGTGTCTCTGGTGACTGCCTTCAAGGAAGGGTTGACAAAATCTAAGTGAAAGGCGCTATGTCGCAGAAACTCTCCCAGTTCACTGCGCGCAGCTATGAACAACGCTTCGGTCGGACCTGCTTGAGCAGCGGGTAAATCCTTCATCTCCGGTTGCAAATCAATGTCGGTCACATTGCGAGGCTTGCTGCAATCCCAAGTTGGTATCAACATTGAAGTTTTGTGATCTGACATCTCGCCAATGCGGTTGTCAAACATGATCAACGACCACCATAATCTCCGGCGCATCTCGCCCTCCAGCGCACTACACCTAGAATTTGCCTTTTCGTCATGAATGCTCATCCGTTGGGCGATTCGAATAGCAACTCCAAGCATGGAAGATGAAGACCTCGGATCCGTTTCATACCTCACAGACACCTGACATGGTTAGACACAAACGACAAGGTCACTTGGCGGACTAACCAGATAGAGAAACAACGCAGTTAGGCACTCGCGATCCCCGGTGCGTAACACATTACAATTGAGCAGGGCTTGCTGACATCCAAACTGATACCCTCGCAAAAGCTCTTCCCTCGGAGACCCGAACGACGTTCGGCACTCTTCATCGTCGAGACTCATGATAGCGACGCTATACACACTGAACAGGAGTGCTTCTAGTTCCGAGCTTATACGAGTCAGATCACTAAGAGCACCAATAATACGTGCTTGCAGAGTGGGGGTATGCGTGACTTTGAGCAGCGGGTCAACATTGTCCAAGTAAATTTGCCAGAGCTTGAATATCCGGACTTGATCAGGGTGCAATGTCGACAGATCCACATTGTCTTTGCGTGATCCAAATATGAAACCCTCGTCGTTGTTCTTGTATGCCTCATCAAACATCTTGTTTATGGCATTTCCACCCAGAGTGAACTGAAAGTGAGTGAGATCATTGCCATCCTCAGTGTCATCATCGGAATCGACCTCCTCAGCATCTTGGGACTGACGTCCACTGTAAGCGTAAATTCAGCCCAACTCAGAAAATGCACATACCACTGAATTGAGAACCTTCCAATAGTTCCTATACAACAATCAGCGCGACCTCAACAAACCTCACTGCGGAAGCACAACTTAGCCGCGTATACTGGCTCAGCCTTGACAGCCACGTCCCTCTCTTCCCCCACCATAGGCTCGTCAGAACGAGCATGGTCACCAGTCTCCAGCACCCTACTGTCTTCGGCTACAGGAGCATGCAAAGGCTCAAAGGGTATATTATTCTGGCGCAGCAAGTCTTCATACCTCCGAACGCGATCCAAGAGCTCTCGTTCGGGGAACCTGCGACGCCGCGGGCGCGGGCCAAGAGTGGGCACACACTGCGCGCCGGCCCGGACGCAGTTGGCGCAGGGAAACTTGCGGTCGCATTTCACTTTGCGCTGCTGGCACAGCACGCATGCAAGCACCCGTGGGGATCTTCCAGCTACTCGTGAAGAGGTGGGCGTGGAAGCCCTTTGCTCTGGTGGTGGCATTTCGTTGATGCGTCCGTTCCTTTCCATGAAAGAAGCTTGAGGCGATCATCGGCTTCCCGGCCGCGTGGAGAACCGACTCTTATGTCAGGTGACCGATACCTCGTTTCCTGCAGATGGGTAAATGTCTACTAATTGTTATTGGATCTCAATGTTATTGGAGGGTCTTTGTTACACTGCTTGCAAATTGCATCAACTAGTGGAACTTATGTATATGTGTGTAGGGGTAGATAGTCAGCCCGATTCAGGATTAGCCACGTCTATTGGGGATTGTCCAACCACAACTTGAACTGCGGTTAGCAATATGCTTCTAAACACTCTATGCGAAAGAAAACTTTCGAAATGATGTCTCGCAAATACTTCCAGGCGCACTGACTGACACTGGCCCATCTCCCTGCTTTTGGTGACAACTCAATCCTGCTCACAGCTTCGCCCTCACTTGCGCTTCACGCGTCGTCCCCTTCAGGATGTATTTGTCCATCTGCGCAAGCCACTCATTTGGGATTGACGACCTCTCCTTAGCGGTCAGTTCCAGCCACCCCTTCTTGATCCGTTCTTCTTCCTCATGCCATCTGTCTGTCTCTTGTTTTATCCATTCAGCAGTAGGTCCAGCAACTGCTACCACATCCTCGAACGGAACAAAGTGTCCACCATTTGGTATCACTATCTCCTTGACGCGGCCATTCTTGTGCCCACCGCTACCCCCCACCCCTGTTCCAGTCCGCTGTATCTTCTCTGCACGTTGTTCTGGTCCTGCCATGATACTCTTCCCACCATAGATCCATAGTACCGATGGCCGGACGTATTTGAGTAGTCTCCATAACAAGATCGGTTCATAGCGGTAGAACGGAAGTGTTTCCGAATGACCTGTCACATCGGTCCAGAATGTGGGATCGTGTAAGTAATCCGAATGGTTGCTGCCGGGTTGCAAGCCGACGAAGTTGGGGCGTAAGCTCTGTGCAATCTCTTGATCCTTTGTGGTGGCTAGACAGACTGCGGACTCGGGGTTCTCGGTTTCGGCGGTGTTGTCTCGAAGGCCATATTTGAGCCAGAGATCAAGACATCGTGAATCCCATCCTTTGAATGCCTTTTTAAAATAGGCTTCTGCTTCAGTACGGGACTTCCATGTATCCTTCTTGATCAGGGCTGATTTCCCAAAAATTGGACCTCTTCCCGAAGCAAAATCCTTTGCTATTACTGGTTCTATAAGGATAAGGGAAGTAAAAAGCCGGGGGTGCATCAGAGTTAGACCCAATCTGGTGGACGGGATTAGTGCATTAGTATCCGTATTCATGTAATAACGGGTGTAGAGAGAAACCTACAGTTGCCCAACTCCGATGCTATGTCCAACACCAATAATAGGTTTCGGCATATCGCCCTTGAATTTATTGATCATGTAAAGCAGGTCTCGGCTGTGGTCGAACCATGATGCTATGATAGGGTTAATTTGGGGTGAATGGGCTGGTAGACATGTCGAAACGCACGCTCAAACCCTAGGTATTCCGCATTGATGGCCGCGCTCTCAGCCTGTTGGGCTGAATCTGCAATCCAGATAGAGCGAATTCGAAGTCCTTGGCGGCTTAACCTTTCATACACCTCCTCCCATAGCGGCTGATTTAGTTCCTGTGCCATTGTATTAATTTACATTTACACTTTCTGGCGTCACAAGTCTAAGTGCACTGTACTGTGCAAATATACATCCCGACTTACCTTAGGGGATCCAACAGAAGTAGCTCCAATGATGGTCACATCACCAGGTTGGGGATCTGGATTCGACTTTGGTGTGTATTGCTTGACGGCAATCTTTAGTACATCGTTGGTATTTCGAGACGCGCGGGCATACTCTCGGATATGCTGGCCATCAATAACATGTTCGGTGATATTGAACGGGGAAGGCTCCATTTTTGGCTCGAAGATTTCAGTAGAAGATTCTGCTGAATGGCCACTGACCGGAAACGTGCCATTTATATAACCCACACATCTGATATGTCCGACTAGTTCAGGCCCGACTATCACCAGATCGGCTAGTTCACTGCAGTTTGCTCGGCCATGCGAGCTGAAGCGAATGATTCAATGCCCAGAGGGTCGTCGCCTCGCGCAATACGGAGTAATTAATCGAGTCCTGGCCCGTTCTCGTCTCCACTTTGTTGTCATGATCTTCTCTCAGCTGGCACTACGACGCCATTAATCTCCGTAGGCCGCATGCGGTTATCTCGGTCCTTATCGATGTTGTCCGCAGTCTGAGGAGTCAACGTAAACCGAGGATATGGAGACACTGATTCGGCATATCTGCGCTTTGAAGCAGGCGAGCTATGCGTTGTGCGATAACTACTGCAGTGCAGATCCTTTCATCAGGATTCCAGCCAGAACTTCAGCCAGAATCCCAGCCAGCCACATAGAAAACCCACCTCAATGACTCGTTTATGTTATGATTCAGGCAGCGAAAGTTCAGCTAATTGAAGATACGTGACGAAGGCCCCACTGTTCATTGATTTCTTGGGTTAGCGGCTGAATACGTGTTGGTAGTCGCTAGTGGAAGGGCCGCGATAGGTGCCGAAGCGCCACAAGAGCGGAAGTGACTGCTTCAGTCAACAAGGGAAGCAATGATATCCGAGCCGCCCTACGAGTACAATGCCAGAGAATTTTCGCGTTGGCCGAGATTCCTGTAGCGGTGCCTGACGCTCCTGTCCTTGTTCACAGCCGCATTACCCGAGGATCGGACAATTTACTGTGGCCTGGGGTACCACACTAAGGCCTTAACATATGCCGGGCATCAATAGACACTTTTGGTCTTGTTTCCTAGGAATGTGGGGGTCTTAAGGAAATGGCAGGGAAGATGAGAGGCAGTTGGGTTAGGAAAGAATGCCTCTTCCACGGACAATGAAACCGAAAAAATAGTCTTAGAATTTCCATCAATAATTCTGATAATGGAAAGTCCGGTGTGAAGCAAGTACTGCGCTGGGCTCGCGCCTCCACGAGGAGAAAAAATTGATGAAGGGGACAGAGTTCTTCATCAACCGGATAAGATATCACTCTTAGTCCGGAACTAGAGATCGCATTAGTGATTTGGGGAGTGGGGAGAACACTCCTATTGGACAAAACGATGAACTAGTATCGTGCATCGCAGGCAAAGTCTGATCGTCACAGCTGGCTGGTACCAGGGTAATGCTGCAGGTTCATCACACCCTCGTACAAGAATTTTACCGTCTGCAACCACTGCCGGCTAGCCAATGGAGCCGTGTCACACGAGATTCAATCAGGGCTGACGGTAAAATGTTGGTAGATCTCAGCCATTAAGTTGAAGATTGTCCACCGAGATAATGGACAACGTGTAGGCTGGGATGGGGTGATTGGCTCGGGTAACACTTCCCCAAAAGCAAGCATAAAGTGATAAGCAAAGTAAGCACGAAGTAGTTAGTAGTGCTGCAGAAGCATGATTTCATTACTTGGAATGTGCAAAAGTGGGTTCTGTGTCTGTCAAATCCCGATGTAGCCCACATGTGAGCTGCATTCGATTTCTATCCCCAATGCTGCTCAGCACCAGACTGTAGCTTATACTACTAGTACTAGTGCCACATACTCGGTGATCTCTGCTCGATCACTATAGGAATAGGAGTAAGTACTAGTAGTACTTCAGTAGTAGTATGTAGCATATGGCCCATCAGATAATCGAAGAAGAATTAACAAAGTCATAACCAATTCTCTACTTAGCACTTGCTCTGATCTCATGCAGGGTCACCCGGGGAAAATCAAAATAAGATAAAAAAAAAAGAAAAGAAAAGAAAAGAAAAGAAAAAGGTTCATTCCAGCCTGATTAACAAGGAAACATTGAGATTTCTTCCTTGAACCCTTTGGTTACCTATTATGCGCAATACCAAATGTGTTGGTTGCCTTTAGCTAGCTAGTTACACCATTTCCAAAGGAAAGTGTACTGACCATCCCCGTTATCGATAAGCCGCAAAACCTCACACCCAACATTGAACCTCCCATCATCGTCACCACCACCATCAGCTTCCTCCACCATCCACACCACACCCAACAATCAACCATACAACGATAACCTACAACAAATTTACCAAATAATACCTACCGCGCTTTCACAAAATCAACTACCTACCTACCTACCTACTTAACACCTATTCCCACAATGTCAACCCCAACCCCAGACGACCAAACACCACCACCACCACCAGCCACAACAATCACCACGTCCTCACAATCCTCCTCCTCCCCGCGCCTCCCCGTCCAAACCCACCACTGCCGCTTCTGCAACCACCTTCTCCTCGCAACGACCCGCTCAATCCCATCCCTACCGCGGCGCAAAGCCCCCGCAAAAGACGGGGCGTTAATCCTTCCTCTTCCGCGCGATCACAGCATCGATGATGAACAATCGAAACAACAAAAACACTACACGATTCTCCTCTCAACCACTATCCCGGATCGCAAACATACGCTCGTGCGCAGGCAAGATGGGTTTGAGAAGAGGTTGTTCCTCCGGTGTGGACGGTGTAGAGTTGTGATGGGGTATTTTTTGGATGAGGTGCATTTTGGGAGGATGAGTTCTCAGGAAGGAGGGGATGGGGAGGGGGAGGGGGAGAAGGCCAGGGTGGTGTATCTGCTGCCTGGGGCTTTGGTGGAGACGGGGGTTATGATGCGGGATGAGGAGTTGGAGAAGGTGGTGAAGGGGTTAGATAGGGAGTGGGCGGGGTGGTTGGAGGGATAAATCTATTCATCCATCTATATGTCTCTCTGTCTTTGATACTGTGCGCATAGCATAGTCTATGGTTGTGGCGATGTGTTGGGAGGGAAGTGACAAGTCGGAGTTGTTTGTGCTATACTTTACTTGCATATACCATGTATCATTTACCATATTTATTTATTCATGTTTATCCGATGCTGAATCGCGCAATATCCCATATACAGTGCACTATAACTAAACTATGCTTAAGCCTTCAACTCCGGCACGGCTGGTAGGAGGTTCGCGTCGTAACAGAAATCATCAGGAACGTCAGGAGGGTATCGGTGTCGTGTGTCGTTTAGTTCGCCAGGATGGTGCGGACGAGGTCTGGTGCTGTTAGCTTGACCCGAAACAGAGGCATTGTGAACACAGAGTTGGTAGCTTACCGGTGTAGTTGATCTCGCCGGAGCTGGTGTCGACGGCCTTGAGCAGCTCGTCGACCTCCTCATCCGACATCTTCTCTCCGAGATTCGTCAGGACTGTAGCCATCATCAGTATCACTCTAGTCATCCTATCCTGCTTCACATACTGTAACGGAGCTGTCCCACACCGATAAACCCAGTCAAGTCCTTGTCAAACACCTGGAATCCGCGGCAGTATTCTTCGGGCTCGCCGGGGTCACGGAAGCCTCCAGGGCGGTTGAGGACCTTCAAGAACGACTCGAAGTCAACTGCGCAAAGCATGTTAGATCCGTATCAGCCATCTCAAATCAGGGCATACGTACAGTCTCCACCGACGGACTTCTCCAGATCTGCGATCTCCGCCAAAGTGGGATTCTGACCGCATGCACGCAGGAGGTCGCCCAGCGACTCGAGCGCGACCTTGCCGGTACCGCGCTTATCGAAGAGAGAGAAGGCTTCCTTGTAGTTGGTCGAGGCCTGGTCATGGTGCATATCTGGTGAGCGGGACATCTTGAAAGGGAAATCACAGGGGTAGAAATCCGAGATGAAGAGTAGAGATCAGAGATGAAATGAGGATGGAAAGAAGACAGGGAGTTGAAGAGTGCCGATGACGAACAAGCAGCCACGAGTACTAGTGAACCATGGAAACGAGCAAAGGGATTGGATGGGCCGACGAGGGGCCGGAATTCAATGGATCCAACCACACGAGCGATCCCCGAGGTTCACCACGACAGTCAACAAACAAGGGATACAGAGCACTGCTCGTTCCTGATGCCATCCGGACAATTCTTCTCCCGCTAGCGAGGGATGATGCTTTTAATTGACATTGCGAAATTGCGAGACGGCCACGTACCATGACTGTTTATTGTGTTGATTGCGGTAATTGCGTGAGTATGCGGCAGCGGGCTGCGAGGGATAGCGACAGGGGGATGTAGATGACGATCTAAACAAACGGAACGGCAATGGCAGGAGTACCACGTATGGTTTGGAATGAAGGAGGAGGGCAGAATGAGGGAACAGGGAAAGGAGAAGAGCGGGCGGGATGGAGGAGAGTCCGGCTGCACTGTTTGCCCGGTTGTTGTTGTGGTAACCGGACACCTCAGGCACGACAACCCCCCTATCGATCGGCGCTTTGTCTGATACGATGACAACATCAGCCTACACTAGTTAGTTAGTTTTTACTAGCATGGATCATGGACCATGACTGGCGTCTGTGAAGATACAAACAGTAGATACTAATATTGCAATAATACAAACATGCAACGCTAGCCAGCCCAATGGTATCCGAGTCATAACACATGCGCAAAGTATTCAGACAGCCAACAACATAAGCCACGCAGAAGAATACAGCAAATAAGGCAGCAGGTGCTTATCGAAACACAAGTACAACCATGTACAGAATAACAAAAGCCCCCCTCAGTCGCTATATACACAGAAAAGATGTAGAAATTAACAAAGGAATTTTAAGGTTGTGTAAACTTCTTGGCAATCAAGAAGCTGCACCGTTCAGCTTGTCGATACAACTGGTGAGCAGGTTGGCAGCTTCAGCCAATAACTCCCAGCGCGTGTTGGTGAACCCGTCACGGAGGACCAACAACAAGCCCAGGCAGCGGTTGCGTCCTTGCATGCCTTCCAAGTCGCTGGGCTCACGAACACTGCCCATCCGGCGCAGGTATTCCTGCATGTCCTGCCGCTGCGCAGCAGGAGTGCTCAACTTGACAGGAGACTTAAAGGGCCCTTCGAGTGCAAATCCATAGCACCAGACCACGAGAGCCGCAACATACAGCACCCACGGCCGGTTCAAGAGGTAGTCGTCACGACCCGAGTACAGTTCCCCATCCTCGTTCAGTGCTCGTCTCTCATCCAGGAGGCACTCCGATAAGAACTTTAGAGCATAGAACGTGGCGTCGCGGGCTGTAGCCTTGGTGGCCCAGACAACCATCTTTTCGCGCGCTGCCTTGTAGTCTCTGGGGGTGATAGACCGTCCCATGAGCCGATTAGCCCCAGCGAAGATCTGGCAGTCAACAATATCAACGTGAGAAGCCATGTGCGCCAGTCCATGGAGCACGTCGCGCGACTCGAAGACGTTGTCGTCGTCCAGAGGGTGTCGGGTACGGTATCCACTATGAAAAGGCCCTGACGGTGACTGACCCAACGCTTCATCAAAGTCTCGTCGCCAATTGTCAAAGGCTCGCAACAGTGCTGACCGCCATTTGTCCCGGCCTCCCAATGCCGGTGGCCCACCCAGTGAGCTCACCTGGAGATCTCGTTGGTTCATGTGCCAGCTGACGCTCAGCAAACCAGCCATGAGGATGGTTCGTCCAAAAGCATTTGTCCGGACCCGCTGTCCGTTAAGCGTCTTCTTAAGGCCGTCCAAGAACATGACAGGCTTGACACCATTAGCGTGCAGGCTCGATTGCACGCGGGCTACCTCAGAGGCGCTAGTCGCAGACCACAGCGCCTCATCGCAGGGCAATGGTAACCGAAGCTCGTGAGCCACCATCTTAGCCGAGTGCCCGAACATAGTGGCGTGGGTAGAGTCCAGAACAAAAGCCGCAAAAGCCACTCGTCTCGTGGCCTCCGCCTTGATCCAGTGAGTCCATGACTCTTCAGCCACAAAGTCTGGCGCCATTGTGGATCCAGAAGCTGACCGGGCCTGCCGGTCGTCTCGGAAGCTTGCAGGAGAGTCTAATGCAGAGCGGCCAATCAATGAGCTACCTCGCCGCATCAGTGTGAGTGTGGTGTCGTGGTGGATGTGTGCCCGCTCATGGAGCGCACGCGTGGAGTACATCTTTTCGTAGACCTCCAGCAGCAGGAGTGCTTGGAAGATCCACAGCTTAGCTGGCGGGCGAAAGTCTGCATCCATGAAAAGCTCTGTTCGCAGATGCCAGGCGATAAAGTTCGCCAGCTCCGCTGCTGCCTCAGTTACTTCCGACCCGTGGATTCCATCCAGCGTGGATGCGCCAATGGCCATCACTGCGAGCAGAAGAAGATTAGGCGCTTTGTCTGCCTCGAAGGTCGGACGATGTAGAATGGGCAACTGAGAGTGGAAGTGGTACCAATACGAGCCGATGTACATCTGCATCATGCGTAGACTCAGCACATGGTCGTCGTCGTCAATGTCGCCGTCCATTAGAGCATCCTTGCGCTTAGCAGACACTGCGTAGAAGGCCTCATTGAACCTCGAGCTCATGAGGGCCAGAAGTTCTTGTCTCTTCTCCTCTGACATGATGGCGCGCGGCGATCCCGGGTCCAGAATGCTTGTAACACTCATAGGATGATGCGGAATCACACCACTGAGAAAGCTGCCATAGGCAGGATCACTCATGAAGAACTGGTTCTGTAGTTGGACAGCATCCAAGTAATTTGGCACCACGTTGGTTGGGGCAGGATACCCCATGGACGGAGAGCCTGTCACGGGATCGTTGAACAGCCACGCTGTGAAATCATCTGCCATGGCGAAGGGTGAACGGTTATGGGCTTCGCCGCCAAACACCGGGTAGACACAAGAAGCCAGCGCGTCGAAGCCGGCATCTCCCACTGATGGACCGGATGTCATCATCTCTGACATCGACTCTAGTGTTCCGTTGTCCAGAGCCGTCGAAGCCGACGTCGCTGGAGCCATCGATATATCTGTGTATCCCCCGGGAGGGAGTTGTAGGCCTGAATAGGTGGTGGGATGAGCCAACGAAGGGCCGTCGATATCGTGTGTTATGGAGGTTGTTTCGGGGACGGAGTGATGAGACCGAGCCTCGTGGCTCAAGTCGCCCGAATTGGGCGAAGATTTGCCGGCAGAGTGACTGCCGAGCGCAGTATGAGGCACCGCCTGGATCTCCGGAGGACTAAACGTTGTTGTGCTTGACGGTCCTGGGGGAGAGCTGAGGGTATGATTACTGGAACTGTTCGATCGGGAAAACGTAGGGTCAGACAGGTCCACCGCATGCTGGGAGACCAGAGTCTGATAATTGAACCCCTGGCCCATGCCCACAGATCCCGAGGGCGATGGCATGTGTACGTGCTGATTCGATGCACTCATCGCAGGCACTGTCATTGTAGGACCCTCCGAGGGGGCTTGCACGGGCGAGTAATTGGAGGGTAGCGGAATGAGTGTAGGCGCGTGGTTCGCATTCACCTGTGACATGACTTGAGGGACTTGCGGCTTTTTCGGGTTGCTGCCGGTTGCTGCCGTCTGCGCAAAGTGATCACGCTTCTGTAGCTGCGATCCCTGGGTGGTGTGGCGTTCTCTATGACGGATACATAGGTCTTGTCGCACGAAGGAGCGGTAGCAATCGGGAAAATCGCATCGATAAATCTGCTTGGGGGTATCTAGACCGACAGCCAGTTGAGTTAGTACTTGCTCACAAGCTCTTGGAAGGATTGCATGCGTACGGTTCAGTTGGTGGCGGTACAAATGCTCCGCTCGCGAGTAACTCTTGCCGCACCCCTCAAACGTGCATTCAAACTTGCGATCCGTCTGAACCTTTCGAGTTCTTTTCCTCTTGCGTGGGGGTCCATTAAGAGCCGCATGGAACGCATCAGCTTCCGTCATCATGTCGATCTCTGTGCTCGATGTATGATCGCGTTTCGGCCCCGAACCCAGCGGGGTCATTGCAGCGAGAGCCATGGTCATCTTGGCCGGAAGATGGAGGCAATAATCATTAATTGTTTCAAAACCTTGTGTTTTTCTTTCCTTGATACCACGAGTGGGATTGTTGCGTGCGCCTTAGCCGACACCCCGAAGATCACCCGCAAAGATGTTGCTTGGAAGAGCAACGTTCATCAGACCTGAGATGGACTGCTTCTCATCGGCAGACGGATGCCGGTCCGGAGGGCTCAGAACAAAACGTGAGCCCGATTGTATACTGGCATAAGGCAAAAAGGAAGCGGGCAGGATGTTGTCTCGTAAACGGTGGACGGTCGCCGCTTTCTGGGCCGATTTGTGACGCACGGGGAACCCCGTGGGGAAAACTCGGCGGGCGGGAAGAGTCAGCGATTCCCGATGGGTTGGGGGGACCTCCGATAGCAAAGGAACAAGTCCTGGGATAAATTTAAGGAAGGTTTAGATGGAAAGACAAATTCTCTGTATGCCAGAGATTGATTTGATGTAGGTATGAAGGAGACAGCAGGTCGGAGGAGAAAGGTCGTACGATGTGACTGGTGATGGGGGGGAAACCGATGGAAGAGGGGAAAAGGGCCGAGTGAGCAAGGGCCCCCCGACACAAAACCCCAACTGCCAGACTTGCAAGCACACGAGGGTTGCACAATGGATGCTGAATGCTGAATGGTGGAACCAAGAGACGAAGAGTCTGAGATCCAAGGAAAAAGAGAAGAGAAGAAGTCACCGCCAAAGTCAAAGAGAGGAACACCGGGGAGGAGCAAAAGGAACCAGAGACACCGGGAATGGAGGTCCCTTAATATTCTGGTTGCTCGTTCGGAGGTGGGGCAGCCGATGCTTTTTAGAGCTTCAAGTCAAAAATGATTATGGATGTACCGCTTGATTGTCAATTTTCCTGCACCTTTCCCAACTTGTATAGGGAATTTCTTGTATTTATTCTTTTTTTTTTCTCCTCTCTTCCATCTCTCTCTCTCTCCTCCCCTCAGCTCCTGCTCCTTCACCTCCTTTTTGTATGGTCACTCCACCCGGTGAGAGTAAGTAATCGCCACAGAATCCCACTCCACTCACAGCCGCGCAAGTGGTTCCCGGATTTGAGACGAAAAAGAAACGCGAAAATCGAAAATACGACCTCTCGGAAAAAGAAGCAAATTGAAAGGCTAACTGGGTCTTGGTCATCTTTTGCTGAGAAGAGAATGGCCGGAAGGGTAGTAGGTAAGGGAGGGGAGGCGGGCGGGACAGCGATGGAAAAACCAGCCAGAATCCATCTTCATTGGCTTCCAAGAACTTAAGGTACTGGATTCAATATCATTGGTTCTGCACCGAACACTCGCAGAAGCCACCTAGAACCAGAAACTGACCACGGTCAGGCTGTCTTTCCCCTCTCTGCCTGCATCCTGGGCGTCCCGTGCCATCCTGCACTTCTTTGAGCATGTTCCGTCTATACTACTAGTAGTTCCTACTATCAAAATTTATCCCCGTTATACCACTCGTCCGAGAAGCCCAATTCCTAGGCATTCTCATCACATCGCAGGTGATATTGATGTGGAAAATCACCCTACGGATTACATAGTCCCTGACACTAGTGGTCCCAAGAAAAAATGAATTGATCAGCTACTAGGAAATAATGCCAACCCGGAGAAATAAAATCCAAAGCGAAATGAAAGGACCAGACGAACACGCTCCACCCCTTCCCCAGTTGATGCAGCCCAGGCCAAAACGGTGCAGGCGATTATGCATTGCGGCAGCAGCGGTTACTTCCCCCCGGAAGATGAATGAATGGTGAGCATCATACTGGATGGCCTTGTTCGCGGCAGAGGCAATCGGGCGATCCTCCATGCCTCTAATTCCCGATTCGTAAGGGATTGTCCCCGGCCAATCATCACGGTTCATGTGTCAGTGTCACTGTCAACTGAAACTTTGCAGTGCGGAGAAAAAAAGGGACTTGCAGGCTCTGGGTGGGCACGATCGAGTTCGAAGCGTCATCAACGCATAGACATACATGATACAACCGTGCAGTTGCGACGGTCAATCAGGAGCAGCCGTGACGCACGACCTGCTGCTCCTTCTCGTCTATCCTTTGGTACATTAGACTCAATTGGTACCTTGATTGGCAGGTTTGATCTCCGTTTCCCTTTTCCTGACCCATCTTTTCAGCCCAACCAGCTTCGTTTGGCTTTGGAACTATGGGTCCAAAAAGGCAGCCTAGTGGCAGTGTCTACCTAATTAAGCGTGGTTTCAGTCTCTCGGAAAAAGGCAGCTTACAGACTCTATTCCGCCTAGGGTATTCCCATGGACGCATCATGCGCCGCCTGCAGAAAAAGAAAACATCGAGTTCTCGAACGGCCGCCGTCCAAGTGTCGTCAGACGAGAGTCTCCTGACACTCGGCGGATGGCGTGCTCCGTACCTTCTCCCCGGATCAATGACCGCGGAGAAGGATCGTTGGTCCAGGAACGTAAACTTAAGATACTGATATGATAAGAACATTGACTGATTTGATTCTATGACAGATGCCTTATGCCATATCGGCTCCCCCTTACGCATTCCGCCAGCACGGAAGTCTCCGATGCGGTACCAGCGCACCGGTACCCTCCCGGCCATAGATAGCATGGAATGAGTAAACCACAACCTAAACAAACCACACAGCCACATTTGCCACAATAATAGCAACCGTGCTAATTTAGCACTGGAATAACGATCACCAGAGTGCATTGTGGCCCGTATAGCTATGATGATCGGCTACTCCAAGTGGCTGAGCCGCCATCTGGCTACGAAGTCTTGACTCAGACCTGTTCCTGCGCCAAAGATGCCAAGGGATCTACCTGAGCCGAAACCGAGAGAGTCCTAGTGGAGTGATCCCCAATATAGAATTGCACTACAGCAGCGATACCGGTGCTGATGTTTCCGCACCACCTCACCATCCCGAAGAAGCAAGTATCGCTGACAACCCGAGAGGAACAACAAAAAAAGCAATTATCCCCAACAAAAAATACTTGTTCTCGTCCGAAAATCGGATCTAGATCCCCGAGCACGCGTCTAAACACGACCCTGGATTATGCCTGTAAATAATCCAGGTGGGTACATATTCCACAAAGTGCTTAGTACTAACAGGATCCACCGGCCGAGAAATATATCTTTGACATCATGGGTTCAGCCCCCCAAAGCTTCATGAGATCACGGCCCAATGACCTGGAGTATAATAATTGAATGCCTCTCCTTCCATTGGATCAATAAAATCTCTCTCTCGCCATTGCCGCGCGCATTTTCTTTTCCTCACACACCATCACCCCTGTCCTATGCCAGTATACCGCCAACTAGCCGCAGGTTGCCTGTCTGCCCTGCGGAGTACACCGCGCACATGCTACTACTCCTATTACTACTACTACTCCTCCTACCACCAATAAGCGGCCATCCATTACAGCAGCAACAGAGGAAGAAGGCATCCCCGAATGTAAGCAAGAACAACTCACTCCATGGCGTGATCAGGACTACCACCGGAACCTTCACATAGCGGGATACCTGCCATCCTACATCGGAACCCTCTCTCCAACAACAAAACCAATAGTATCATCAACATCGACCAGCCACTTCTCGGACATGGAGTAAAATCAACAAGATCGACAACGTCAAGTATGGTCCCCTACCGTGCCTAACCAAAGTAAGTAGATATGACCTACAGTGTACCAAGAAACAACCACCTGATCAACACACCGGGACCACACACACATACGCACACACTCACTCACACCCATCTATGATCTAAACCAACCAACCAAGTAACTAAGTAGTAGGAGTAGGAGTAGGAGTAGTAGTATCCATGTAGCTGACCGCTCCTTCCCCATCTCCTATCCACCAACCACTAATCTCTGATCCCCCCCCCAATGCCTACCCAAATAGTACATAACAAGCGAGCCCCAACATCATAAGCTAGCTAAGTAGTAGCTACTGTACATACATCACTGACCCTCCCCCGAACACCTCCTAAATTGTTACCTAAGGGCGATGGTACCTTAATCCCCACCCTACCGTGAAACCAACTTCCGTAACTCTAGATAATCAATCAATCAATCAATCAATCAAGGACCCATATTCAGATCATCAACACCGAACCCCGCCATCTCAAATCTCAACCGGGTGGATACCGCAATACGTATGTATAACTGGCCACCCAACCCCCCAACATGGGGCCAAATAAACAAACCAAGAAAAATCTTTTATTTATTTATTTATTTATTTTTTTACTTATCTCTTCGCCCGAGATGATCAGCTGAAAATAAAGCAAATTTTTATCTCCGGGTGTTTTATATAGTATACATATGGATTGTGGATTGTAGATATCCATTGGCTGATTGATAACAGTTCTGAAACAAATGGGTCGGATGGATGGCGATCATCTCTCGGCTATACTCATGCTTCTTTCTTTCTTTCTTTTTTTTTTTTTTTTCCCCATGTGTGTTTTGGACTTGTTTGTGCTGTGAACATAAGGATCTACGGTATGGGTCTCCCTTTTCTACTACCTAACTAGTATATATTTGTTGAGTGCTGGTGTATATCAGTTGCTTAGGTGCTGGGTGGAGTTGCCCGGTACTAAACATTGTAGCGCGGCAGCGCGCGTGTGTCCTTGTGTGTGCGTATGTGTGTGTGTGGGTATCCTATTTTAGTACTATCTCGGGGCTTTTCGTGAAGGAAACTTCGGTTCTCAGGATGAAAATCTCTGCATGTCATATGATATGATGATGATGATAATGATGATGATTGTAATATTGGTAGTAAGGTATGCTGGAGACATGATAGTAAATTATTGGCTCCTGAGGGTTTGTTATCTTACAGGCTACTCCACATGCATACCGGTTTACAGGTTTGAGATCCTACTGTACATGACTTCCAAGACATGATATACGGAGATACGCACTGGAATACTCATAGGGGCCGCGGTTGCCGGGAAGCATTGGTCTAAATTGCTACACTTAAAGAGTACTTTCGATTTACAGGGCGGGTGTTCAGGGGTAGTAAGGGTAGTGGCAAGCAAGAAATCATGCGAGCGGGCTTGAATCTCCACCCTCCGATGCGCAGGAGGGACCCCGCTGGTCTCATGCGCGGGATCGCCCTCCCTCAGGCAAGAGTGCCTCGGATTCTGAAACAACCGCATCATGTCGTATACGGGTGATGCTGAGAGATAATGGGTGGGCGCGGCAGGGAGAAGAGAGGGAACGGAGGGCATAAAGGAATACATGATTGGGCAAATATTTTTTAACTTGATTCTCAACGCGTGCGAGCGCTTGATGATCTTCGGCCGGGTCGCATGATGTGCGCTAATCTTCCAAGGACTATTGCCGCCTTCCAAGGGCTGAGCGTCGTCGGCAGCTGATGAGAATCTTTCTCCCAGCATCCTTTGCGCTGAGCGGTTCCTGACTTGCTCAGTCCTGGCCTCCATTCTCCCATGGTACAATCTATCCGCTAAACCGGAACCGGGTCGCCTCCAGCCGGCCCAGCCCTTCTCTAGGTGCCACGTTCCGTCGCCGGTATGAGTTGGTGAAGTCTATGCGTGCTTGTCAGCCAATGTAAAGCTTGCGAGAAAATGCTAGTTTCACCATACCTTGAAGAAGGACCCGGATCTTCCGCACCTCACCCGAGTGGACCTTGTCGAAGATGCCCTTCAGCAACCTCTCCGCCTCACCCGGCTTCATGGTGCCGGCGGGAAGCATCTGCAGCGTGGCCTGAAGCCAGGTTCCTGCCTCTTCGGGCATAAGTTCGAACAGCATCATCATCACGCTGGATGCGTCGGGGAAGCACTCTCCCGGGAACGAGAACATCATACCCGTCAGGATATGCTGCGTTAGTAGCTGGCCTTGCGACGCAATCAGCTGCTTGACGGCCTCGCGGATTTCGGGCGGGTTGGTGTAGGAGCTCCCATCTGAAGTGGTGAATTCGGAAACCGTCGGCTTATCGAAAGCGAAGCTAAAGAGGTCGTGGTAATAATGAAGGGTGGCCATGAGTGGGTCAATCTGCTGGAGGGTGAGAGCGCTGAGTGCGGCGGAGAAGATCGGCACGGACAGCGATGAAGTGACACACTCCTTGGGGTAATACCGGACGGCATCGGAAGACAAACGATAGAAATCCTCGATAACTGGTTGTACCTGATTAGCTTGAGGCGCAACGAGCAGCCAATTTCCAGCTGGGGGAGCACCTACCATCTGGGAGATTCTCGGGGGGTAGATCATTCAAGGTCCGCAGGAATGCGACCGCTTGCTGCTCGTAAAACTGGAAGACAGCATGGCTGGTGGAGGGATCGACAAATTCAGCACCCTCGGAGAACTCGCGCACGACAGCGTCAGTGGCCCACAGGAAGCATCCTTCTCGTGATGCCTCGAATCCGCTTGCAAGACTCTGCGCTAGCGTGGGTAGGAGCGGAGTCATAGCCGTGCGGTAGGAGATAATCATGTTTCTCCAGCAACGGCAGACGCGCTCTAAAATCGGCGTGGACGAGGTAAAGTTCATCACGATTGTCGTCATGATTGGCAAGATTTCGCCGCAATACTTGACTGCGGGGTTCTCTTCCCGGGGTGAGACGTATGGGTTCACGACCAGGATGAAGATCGTAATCAACTGAAGGTGATCTACCATGCAGTTAGTATGCAGAGTGCCTTTTCATTTTGAAGTATACCTACCAGCAACAGCCCGCTGGCCCTCTTCATCTTTAGCGTTGTTCGCTAAGTTCATGATGCGTGCCATAATGGGATCACAGAACAACTTCATCGTCTCGTAGATCTTCTCCAGTGGCTGCACTGCAACCACAGCCGCGACACCCTCAGTTATCTCTTCCTGACTGGCCGGTTTCAGCTTGTCAAGGACCGATTCGTAGAACGAGTGTAGTTGGGCAATGTGACCTCCAAGCAACTTCTGGCAGTCCGTGCCCAAGAACTTGAAGGCCAAGGCTGCAGCCTGAACCACCTCCGGAGAGCTGTGCTGGAAGCCAGAAATGACATAGTTTAGTTGCGCCTCCAATGTCTCGGGATGCTGTGCAGTCCACTCGGTGTAACGCGCTAACGCCATGATAGCCTGGAACCGCACTTTTTCTTGGTTCGGAATCTGCACGATGAGGGGAATGACCTGTGTTAGGACAACATTCTCCTCAGGATCGACCATACGGCCCATGGCGCGCAAACTAAACAGGGGCGCTTCGAGCTCTTGCCAGTTGGGAACATGGTCGTCGCTGGACTGGGAGGCATATTTGGAGACCCATTGTTGGATCAGCTGATAAGCCTTGGTCAAGCACTCATTGACCCCAATGACCGCACAGCAATCCTTGAGCACATCTCCCATAGCGTGCCGGAAATGCCGGAATTTCTCTTCCTGCTCCCGATCGCCACCGAAAAGGTCCGTCTCACCCTCCTCCGGCCGCGGGTACTCGAGGTGCTTGACCATGATATCCACGAGGCTAGAGAAGATATCACTAAAGCCAGTCCGTGCATCCGCATATCGCTCCAAAGTAACATATTGCTTCAACTCGTACCAGAAGACGAAAGTAAGGGAAATTGCGTCCCGCTCCCAGTCGCGAGCGCAACATTCTAGGACCGCTTCGACCAGCCCGCGGAAGTCAGTCGGCAGGCGTGCCATCAGAACCACCCAGGCCTCGCCAGCTTCGGCAAACAGCCTCGTGATACCCCTGTAAGCATCTGTGTCTTCCGCTTCGGCGAATTCGGCAATCTTCGGGCGCA